CTGCAATCAAGTTACTCTCAAAATCGGTAGAAGTCCATTTCAAAGAATTTCTTTAAGATCTGTTATGTGTTACTGCAGAATCACAGAATGACTGAGGTTGGGTGCACCTCTGGAGGTCTCTAGTCCAGCCCCCTGCTCAGAGCAGGTTCACCATAAGCAGGTTGCTCAGGCCTGTCCACCTGGGTTTTGAACATCTCCAGGGTTAGACTCTACAAGCTAAGTAACTTCTAATGCTTGATGGCCCTTTACCATGAAAAGATGTTTTCTTATGGAATGAAATCTATGTGGACTTTCCAAATGACCTTTTTTGTGTTTCGGTTTGTGCCTGGTGCTTCTTGTCCTGTCACTTGATACTACAGAGAAGAGTCTGGCTCTGTCTTCTTTACTCCCTTTATCAGATTTTTCTGGCTAAGATCCTGCTGATCTGCCTTTTCTCCAGACTGAGAAATCCCTGCTTCCTCAGCCTTTCCTTGCATCAGAGATGCTGCAGTTCCTTAATCACTTTTGTGGCCCTTTACTGGACTCGCTCTAGTTGTAAATGTTTGTATTGTATTGGGGAGCCCAAAGCTGGAGAGAGTCCCCCAGAAGTGTCTCACCAGTGCTGAGTAGGGAGGAAGGATAATTTTGGGTAATGCTGGTAATGCTTCTACTAATGCAGCCAAGGTGGCTGTTGGCTGTGTTAATGGTAAGGGTACATTCTGCTGGCTGATGATCAGCTTGTTGTCTAACAGGACTCTAAGGTGGTCTGCCAAGCTGTTTTTCAGCCAGTTGGCTCCCAGCATGTACTGGTACGTGGGATTATTCTTCCCCAGGGGAAGACTCTCCTTTTACTGTTGTTGAACTTCTTTGAGGTTCTTATTTGCCCAATTCTCCAGTCTGTTGAGGTCCCTCTGGATGGCAGCACAACCTTCTGGCCTACCAACCACTCCAAGTTTTGTATCATCTATGAAATTTCTGGGGGTACACTCTGCCTCATCATCCAAGTCACTAGTGACGATGTTAACCAGTATTGGATCCAGTATTGATGGAGGCCAGTGATTAGCCTCCAACAGGGTTTCATGCCACTGATGATGACTCGTAGAGCCTGGCAGTTTAGCCAGTTTTCAGTCTATGTCACTGTCCCACTTATCTGGTATGTACTTAATAAGTACATGTGGGTGTACTTAATGTGCACATTGTGAGGATATTATGGAAGAGAGTGTGAAGTCTTGCTAAAACTGAGATAAACAACATCCACTGTTCTCCCCTTGTCCACCAAGGCAGTCATGTGATTCTAAAAGACTTACTAGTTTGGATTTCCACTTTATAAATCCATGCTGACTACTTCTGATCACTTTCTTGTCATGTATGTGACTGGAAGAGATTTTCCTGATTAGTTCCTCAATCACCTTCCCAGGGATTGAATTGAAATTGACTGACCTGTAGTTGCCCAGAGAGCAAGAGAGTTTCTTCCTGGTCTTGAAGATGGGTGATATGTGCTTTCTCCCACTCTTCAGAAACCCACCCTGTTTACCTTGACCTTTCAAAGACAACTGGAAGAGTTGCCTTGCAATGGCATCCATTACCTCCCTCAGCACTGGAGTGCAACCTTTCAGGCCCCATGGACTTTTATCTGTTCACTTTAAATATTCCTCCATGTGGTCTTGCTCCGCTGAGGGTTAGTATTCCTTGTTCCAGACTTTCTACTGTCTTGTGGACGTGGGATCCCTGAAGGTCAGTTTTACTGGTAAAGACTGAGGCAAAGAAAGTACTAAGTATCCTGTCCTCTTCTGTGTCCCTGGTCAGCAGTTTCCCTGCCCTGTTCAGCAGTGGATTCATGTTTTCCCCAGTCTTCCTTCTGCTGCTAATATGTTTGTACAGATCTTTGTTGTTGCCCTTCAGATCTCTCGCCAAATTTAAATCCAGGTGGGCTTTAGCTTTCCTAATCTCATCCGAGCATGACTGTACACCACTTACATATTTCTGATTTCACATCCTGTACACATTGTTTTTATGTTGGAGTTTAATCCCTTGTTCATCCAAGCAGGCCTCCAGACACCTTTGCTTGATTTCCTGCTGCTAGGATGGACCTTTGGCTTGGAGGTGATCCTTCAGTCACTGGAGATGGTGAGCAGGGATGTCAACAGACCTATAAAGCTGTTCTAGCAGCTTGGTTTTTAAGAACTGTGGTATCCACACCTGTGCTGCTGGGCTGTGGTAATCACCAGAGGGTCCACCAGGTATGAATAAGAAAGGAGAATTTTAATTTCATTCTTGGCACTACTGAACTTGAACTACAGATCAGGCAGACCTTGTGAATTAGTTATTTGCTACTAACCTACCTATCACTGACCAAGTGGGAAGGAAGTTTTAGATATTAAGCATTGCCTCACAGAATCCTTAATTGACTTAAGGTTTTTCTTTACTTTTTATGTATCTTCTCTCTTCAGAAAGAACACAACTCTCTTTATTTCTGCTTACATTGTACTTCCTCAGTTTTATTCTATGTAATGTGTTGATTCAGAATGACTTTGACAGTTAGTGGTGGGTGGCTGGATGGAAAGTCCAATTACTGCATTAGATTGCTTAGAAAGTGGAGCTATTTGATCTATCAACATCTATAGAACTACTTCTAGAGCAAAGTCTAGATAGTTTAGAGGCTGGGAAAACAGTAGCACCATAAACTACAGCTTATGGGTTTTGGCAGGCCTTTGGGATCTTCTGTTTATCCTGTTTGAAAGGAGTTTGAGGCTTGCATTCTGCAACTTCTGAGTATTTGCAAGAATGCATGCTTAGAAAACAGCTTAGTAACAGGTACTTCTTTAAAATTACATTAAATTAACATCAAAACTAATGTAAAGTCCACAGTACCTCCTTAATCTTCAGCAAACCGGAGAGGGGGGGAGGGGGAGTTTCTCAGTAGTGAAATGTTTGAGCAGCAGTCATAGCTTTCTTTAAATATAAAGATAAGTCACTGTTTTCCTTCCTTCTTTAGCTGATACTCACTCCTCGGAATTCTGACTTCTCTCCAGAGAACATGACCAAATGCATATGGGAAGAAAAACTTGTGTCTGACAGCTTAAATAGAACTGGATAGAACAACCTTCAGTGTATCTCAATTCCAGAGAGGAGTAAAATTTGACAGATAAAATTGAGATGTGCCAGTGATGCATGCAGCTTTCTTCATCTAGTTTATCTATAAGTAGTACCCATCTTCCCCTGCTTCTGTTGACAGCAGACTTTGTTAATAACCGTTTGTTGTGTTCAATTACAAAATAGATGTTGTTGCTGTGCCCTCCTACTATGTAGAGTTAAATTTGGAGGAGTGGAAGGGTTCCTTCTGAACAGCTAAGTTAAGGTTTGTTTTGAGAACTCCTTGGTTTTCATAATTCATGATTTTATTGTATAGTTCTGTCCCCATGGCAGTCTGCCTCCATTCTGTGGCCCTGGGTCTCCTTAAGGTCATCCTGCCAAGTGTGGCATGGAGCTTTATTTCTTAAAGAAGCTCACAGCCAAGTGGGCCAGTTGGGCAAGATTTTTTCATTCCTTAGCTGTTGTATTTTTCTACCTGGACACTGGCAGCTATTCTAGTATGAACTTGCACAGTTTCACAAAAAAAAGTAAATTAGGAGAAAAGGCTGAGGTTATTCTCAACTGCCTGTGTGGGAGATCAGAAGACAAGCACTTCGAACACAGGTCTCTGGCTCTTGTGTGGCTCTCATCTTAAAAGAGCAAGGCATTATGGCTTGCAGGGCTCTATGTTGTACAGTGTGTTATCTTGGACAACTGCAAGTTTTGTAGATCAACCCTGTTCAGCCAGCTTTGAAAGATATCTTGCACAAAGCCTCTGGGTGGAACTTGAAGGATCACAGCAGTGTTCAGGGTACTGCTTATTTAGTCTCTGGGGTGCTCTATCTCAGTTGTCTCTTGTTTTGCTTACACAGGAGTGTTAAGAGTCTGCTTATCTGCATGGAAATGAGACAGGGGGAGGATTTAAAAAGAAATGTCAAAGGATTAGGCAAAAGATACATTTACAGGGTTAAATTCCATCTGCCTGGAGTTGCCTGGTCCTACGTTGCAGGGAGGGCAAAAAAAGGAGATAAATCTGAGCACTTCTTGAGTCTCCTTTTTACCTTTATATTTTGTACAGTGAAAACCCCAAATAAGGTATTTTGTCCTGTCCTGTTCCACAAGCATGGATGTTCTGTTCTAATCTTTCCTTTCATAGGTGTAAACAGCTTGTACAAACTTCAGTGGGAGTTGCTGAACTTAATAAAATATTTCTAACTGAGACTTTGAGGCAGCAGGTAAAAAGTTCTGTCCAAAAGGACCTGAAAAGCTAGCTGTCACTTGGCATTCGGTTGTAAGACCTCTGTGTTGCAGAAACTGGTGAGCTGCTGAACAGCCAAAATGCAAGTTGCTTTACTATTCTGCCATTCATTCTTAGGCCTATAAAAGTGGTGTAGCAAAGTTTATCTTGACCTCATGAATGATTGTCATGTGATAGGAAGCTCAACACTTGTACAAAGGGCACAGAACTTGAAAAACGCTTGCAAACCTCTTAAGTGCTTTGGACTGTGTTCTGGTGTTTTTAACCTAGATATCAACTGGAAATCTTTATTCCTTGTGTTTTTTAATATTTTTTTAAATGATAATTAAAAGGAAATCCTTCTTGGATTGTCTTAAATTTATCTTTTTAATCTTATAGGATGCTAATGGAGAATACTTTTCTCCACCAAGGCTTGCTGGAGGTCTGTACCTAGCTTTTCTCCTTTTATTTGAAAGTACTCCTTAGATTATATATGAGTTCGTGTAGTGAGGTTTTGCTGTGCAGTCTATGTCACCTTCTTTCAGTGTTTTGACAGAAGCCAGCATGAAAAAAAACCACTTAACTGGCTTTGCAAGGTAACTTTTCTGGCTGCTCTTAAAACATTCCAGTGTTTCAGAACAAATGACACTGTCCTATGTCAATTGTTTTTAAAGTGTTTGATTTCTAGTTTTTTTCCTTTCTTTTTCCTAAGGTTTCTTACGCACGACCAAGTTCGGCTTCTATCAGAGATGCAAATTTGTATGTTAGTGGACTTCCAAAAACAATGATCCAGAAAGAACTGGAACAACTCTTTTCCCAATATGGACGCATTATTACTTCTCGTATTCTGATTGACCAAGTCACTGGTAAGTAAGCAGTTTTGCACTTCCTCTGCTTCTTGGATTGACAGTTTAAGAAGTATTTCACCTTTTGGTACAATAGTCTTGTCTCTAGAATGTATGAAAGGTGTATGTAGGCCAGAAAATGCAATTTTCTGCTGGAGTTGTTCATAAATATGCATGGACAAAAATAGATTATGGAGTATACTGAGGCAACTTGAGTCACTTTCACCCGGAAGGGGCAGGTTTGAAGCCTGTTTCATGGCTTGTAATAAATTTACAGTTGCTATAACCTTCCTTTCCAAGCTGCCATGTGAAAATAGTCCCTATGCGCCTTGTGAAATGCTATTAAATGCTTTTTTATAAAAATAAAGTTTTCTGCAGAAATGAACAGCTGGTTCTTTGAGGCTGGGATTACAAAAGACCCAGACTGGGAAGTGCTGTTAAGACTGTTTTCAAGGTTGCAGCATTAACTTTGGGCACACTGAAGAACATTAACTTTGAGTTACTCGGGAGCAGATATGGTCTGTGCTTAGCAATGCCTTACAGAAATAAGCTCTAGCAGGTTGGTTGTGTTACAGTATGTGTCTTAACCAGTGAGTGGGTGTCAGTGACACTCTGTGGTTACTATTCAGACATGGACAGTGCTGCATGTGTTTTTGCTGTCTGAAATGGCTGATCTTGACGAGCTTTATAACATGCTACCTTACCTGCTTCCAGCAGGTCTGTTCCAAAAATAAGCAATCAAATGAAATGCCAAGTGCATGACAGAAGTATTGAATGTGTAAAGCAAAATACAAAGGAGCAAGGCTCTCAATTCTCATCTTTCAAAAAAACTAGGGGTGTGATGCAGAAGAATTCATTTGCTCACATAATCATTCCCTGAATAATAAGCTAACTTGGATTTTTTTTATAGCTGTACCTTTTCAAAGTTGCATGTCGTCGTGGGGGACAGCTTTCAGCTGTAGGAGGTCATAAAGTTTTCAAATGGTTTTGCTTTGAGAGGATTGTGCATACCAGTGTTTGACACTTGGCTGACCTATAGAGGACCTCATATGTACCTCTTTGCAATTCCGTTGTGTCAATACTGAGATTTCTGTTAACATAATACTTATGGAGTGTTTTAATAGTATGAGTTGGTGAGACTGTAGAGAGGCAGGGAAAGGAAAGCTAAAGGCCAAATAGTTACTTGCAGAAGCAGCATATTTGCAAGTCAGATTTCCAGTCTTTGTACAGTAACTAGCTGCTTACAGTATCTTCCTGTATATTCATGCACAGAAATAGTGGGATGGTGGAAAATGGGCCACATAAGTAAATATAATTACTTATATGTACTGTAATTCTAAGTATTCATAAATCCTAATATGGCACAGTTTTTCTCTGGTGTAGACTGTTGTTCAGGTTTAAGCTTTCTTCCGTATTTCTTAGTAATTTGGAAGAGGTAGACTCAAAATGGTATGAATAATAAGATTGTGACACAAACTGACATGAAAAGCGCGAAGTTGAAGCTGTGACATTTGCCTCTTTAACGCTTTCTTATGCCTGCTCATTGTCACTTTGATGGTTTAAATTGTCATTGTTTATGAGCAGAATACATTTCTTGTCATTAATGTCTTTCTCAAGCGAGGACAAGCATCTAACTTGTCTGCTTATTCATGAACCAAAATACAAGGGGACTCTCAGTGGATTTAGGGATGTTAAAACAAAGCATGCAGCTAACTAGTATTGACTGTAGTAGCTTTAATGTTAATTAGTCTAAGTATTGACAGCTCAGTGTGTTTATATTTAAGCCACAGTATAAATTTTTGAGGTGTAGTGTTCGTAAGATCTTCCGTAAGCACTTGCTGATCCCCTTTCACGTTGTCTCTGACTTTTTTATACCAAGGAAGAATCTATGGACCAATAAAAGTTTCCTTCAAAAACAACACAAAAGTATGGTGGTATGTGGGAACTGAATCTTTTACTTGGAGGTAACCATGGACTGTTAAAACAGGGCTATAATTCCCACTACTACAATCTAGAACCTGAGCTCTGTTCTTTGTCCTCTCAGCATATTTGCTCCAAAGGGAACTTTTAAGGGGTGCTGCAGGAGAACGTAAGCCATTTCTTGCTGCTAGAGAGAGGTTGACTAAGCTATTTACAGAACTGTGAATTTAAAGAGTAGCATGAACTGAACAGAGGTTACAGTGCAGCTGGTTCTGGATTCAGTTCCATCCCTTCGGAAATTGCTTTGTTTCATAATTACCCTTTGGCTCATTCTGTTTAAGTGGTCTCCACTGTGTTTTCACTCAACTGTCCAAGCTTTATACACAATGTATCTTATGTCAGTTAAATTTTTTTAAAAATAAATATTTGCAATAGAAAAGCCTTCTTTAAGCAAAAACTCAGTTCTAATATGCTCAGTTATGTATTCACAGCCATTGGCCATTAACATAGCAATTGGCTATGAAAATCAAATGTTAACATCTAATATTCCAGAGTCTCTGAATTAATTATTATATGCTTCCTTCACCCTGTGCAGGGATATCAAGGGGTGTGGGGTTTATCCGGTTTGACAAGCGAATTGAAGCAGAAGAAGCTATCAAGGGCCTGAATGGCCAGAAACCTCCAGGTGCCACAGAGCCCATCACTGTAAAGTTTGCTAACAATCCAAGCCAAAAAACCAATCAGGCCATCCTTTCCCAGCTGTACCATTCTCCAAACAGAAGGTATCCAGCACCTCTAGCTCAGCAGGCTCAACGTTTTAGGTAAGTCAAATACGTGTTTGTGTGTGAGTGTGCTGGAAGCCACGTGCTCCCATAGGCCTGTCTATTTCCCTCCACTCTTTCTGTTCCCTGCTTGTCTGATTTCTGTGTGAAGGAAACACATGAAAATGTTGAAGTTCAGCTATGCTGCTACATGCAACTAAAAGCAAAAATGCATTCCGTCCTATTGATAGCATTTCAGTATCTAATAAATCTACTTAGAGTTAAATGGAGGTGAAATCTTTTTCTTCTACACAGTCACTCAAAAAAAAAATCCCTTTTTAAAGGTTATTTTTAATTTCCTAGATCAGTCTTGATTAATGTGTGAGTTGATTTGGCTAACATTGACCTGGGCAATTTGGGTTTCTTCTTAGCCGTATGGCATGCCACAGACAGCCTCCTCTTCACCACCCCCTATCTTTCCTCCTTGTTCTGGCTTTCGTTTTTTTCCTAGTCAGTTGTCTAAATCCTACATGCCACACTTCGACTTCTCTTATTACAAACTTTTGTAATGCAGATTATTCAAATATTTTCTGCATGTGTTTTTTGCGGATATATGTTCCTGTCATGTTGAAACTACAGCCATACAGTTCCCTGTGATATTTAGCTTATTGAAAAGGACAGATGGTGAGAACAAAGTGAAACAAATATTGTATTGACTATATTCACGAGTACCTCAGATTTTTTCCAGTGATTTTGATAATTTCTTCCCACGCTCTGCCCCTGTGCTATGTGACTGGAATGTGTTAAGCAGTAATATATTCAAACAGCTTCTATTTTATTTTTCAAGAAATAAAATTAACTGACAGTTTGCTTCAAAGATAATATACCAGACTTAATGCTTTGCATTGGCTACCCTCACTTTTAGGCCAAATATTCAGACTTCATGGACTGAACTTGTGGCAGAACTTCTGAATTCTTAGCTTTTCAGCCTTTTGTGCTGCAAGTGTCACAGGTGTGAAAGTCAGCACTAGAGTAGGCTTTCTGCTGTAAGGGAAGGGAATAACAAATTTTACTTACTGTTTGGTGGATTTTCTTACCATATCTTAGGGAATAAAAGGGTTAATTTAAACTGTGTGCTGAATATTGTGTAAAAGTAGGCTTGCCTTTGTTCCTTAGGCGGAGCATAGGGGCAGAAGTTGCACTTGCAGGATGCACTCAAGTGCATTATATGAAGTAAGATCATGAGGGAGCTGTTGTACAGCCTGTGTGTTACAACATTCAGCATACTCTGGGAAGTCTGGCCTGCTGACTCCCTGAGTTCTGAGTGCACTTGTTCCCAGATACTCGGCTGTGTTTGGCATTACTGGCTGGGGATAGCATCTGTATTTAACTGATACTCCAGATAGATCTATTGTGATTTGTAAAAATTCTCCAACTTTTGGAGTTTTTCCTTTGGTAGGCTCTGAAAAGTTCTTTGCAGTTAAGCAATTTCAATAGACTACCCCTGTCCTGCAACATTAAACTTTGAACCTTGTAAATTACATTTGCTTGTTTATGATTTGGTTTGTTTTAAAAAAGTGTATTTTTATGAATGCCTATTTAAATTTCACTAGGAAGTGGGGTTTTTTTGAGATACGAAGTGTAAAGTGATGCCTGAAACAACCATAAGAGTTATTGTGGTTTTCTCTGCTTAAAAGTATGATGGTAACAAGCACTGAGTAGGTATCAAGTTTGTAGCGAATAGGAGGGAGAGTAAAATTTTCTTCAGTTTTATCAATGCAGAAGGAAGAGCAAGGCTGAACTGACTGGTCAAAAGGTAAACTGAGGTTGCAGACAAAATTAGATATTTTTTTTTAATAATTTTTTGGGGGAAGGCCTTCAGGCTTCTGTCTGTTATCTAAGAGAGGCAGCCTTGCCAAATTTCAAATTTTTATAACTGTAAAAGGAAATAATCTTTCATTTTTTAGGTCTTTGTTTTGCTGTTGCAGAATTCCATCTCTGTTGCTGACTATGTACTTCAGATTGCACCAATGCTTCAGATCTTTAATGTCTTTTACATGCAAGAAATTTTAGCTGTTGACACTTCAGACAGGATTATCTGATACAGTTGCCCAGTCTCTATTAATGGTTGTCAGAGAAATGCAGACAAAGTCGGCATAAACTTTAGTAATAAAGAACAATAGGACCACTACAATGCTGCTTTTCACTTAAGAAAAATCTTGAGCTGGACTTTCAAAAGCAGCTGTACATAATTGTTCCTCAGTTTCTGTAGGATGTGTAACTTAAAAGCTTCTTTAAAAATTTTCTAGTGAATGCCCCTGAGAATTTTTGCAGAATATTTTTAAGTTGTCCAGTTAACCAATGAAAACTGTTACAGTGATACCATTACTGTATGAAGTCCTCAGCTGACTGCTGTAAGGCAAGGACCTATAAATGGTGGTGTTTCTGGAACACTTCACTTTCCTCTCTGCCCCCAAATGTTAATGACGGTAGACCTCTGTCATCCACACTAAGACTACTGATAGTAGTCAGGCATTTTTTAATTTCCTCTTTTCTGCTCTTTTGGGGGTTCAGTGGCTTGCTTTCTTGTCAGTTTATCCAACAAATCCTATTCACTGCAGAATCATAATGCTGTGTAGTTTGAGACCTTTACTTAGCTGCAGGTGACACCAAATATTTTTTTCTTCAAGTTCTTTTGTGCATAAGTGTAGTTATACTACTGCAGCACTTGACTTTAGATTCTGTATACCAGCAATGGTTCTTAAATCCTATAGCTCATTACTGTAGAGAAATCACAATAAGGTACAGATCTGTAAGGTAGCTGTAAGCTAAAAACTAAAATGAAGTGTACCTTTTTTACCTAAGCTTGTATTTTGGGGAGTCTTGAAGAGAACCCTTTAACAAGACTTTGTCTTCACATGTCCGGGCTTTGCCGGAAAGAAACAAGAGCTTCTTTAGGGTAGAAATTTTCTTAGAGAAGCACTTTAAGCTTCTTCAGGAATAAGATTAATAGGATTGGTATGCATTGCGTGTTCCAGGTATTGGCTAGGTAATTCCAAAGGGTTTAGAGTTGTGGTGGCATGCTACAGTTTAGCAGCTTGGGGGAAGGTGAGGGAAGAAATACATGGAGAAAACTTAGTCTAATGTGTGTGAGTGTGTGTATATATATTATAAAACCACTTTATTCTGGCAAAGAGTAGGTAAATGCAAAATCTTTTTTGCAGTCCATGTTCTAAGACTTGTTACTGCTCCAAACCCCTGCGTCTGGCTGGGTATTCATGTCACCAAACTGTCAGAAGCCTCAGTAGAATCTTCACCCAAAACAAGTTAGGAATCTGGAAAATTTCACTGAGGTGGTTGCTGACTTTATGCTAACAGTATTTGACTTAAGCTAAACTTGTGGTAGTGGTGCACTTTCTGAGCTGAACTAGTTATGGTTGGGGATACTACACAAGAACATACATTTTGTATTCACGGACTGTATTAGGTGAAACAAGGTGCCACAGCTCTTTCAGTGGTGATGCTTTGGTACAGTGCAAGAAATACGGCAGTAATATGCCAAGTTTCCTTAAAATTAAAGGATGGATAAGTCTGAAGATTGAACACTTTGCTAAATGTTTTGCAGGTTGGACAATCTGCTCAACATGGCTTATGGAGTAAAGAGGTAATAACGGACTTAAGTATTTTGCATGCTCTTACTTTTTCAGTGAGACTTAAGTTGGGTTTTTGCATGTTGAGACTTCAGCTGAGGTTGTTCATTTTGGTGCATTTTGTAGCAGTTCTGTGGAATTGCTGTTTCAAATGACTTACTAATCCTCGCTGGCTTTATAGCATGCTTTTCTTTTGTTTTTTGTTTGTTTTTTGTTTTTTGTTTTTTTTTTTGTTTGTATGTTGCTTCACTTCAGACAGACCTAGCACTGTTCCCTCTACTTGTGTATAATATTGTACATAGCATTTTTGCAGTTGGGGGGGGGGACCTTATTAGTCTGGCCAACATGTTCGTGCTGTGAAAATGCATGTATAATTTTCTTTTTTATTCTGAAATTTTGTTACTGGGACACTCTGTGAACAGCTACTTTATGATTCCATTTTGTTTTCCCCCCATTCTTTAGTAGATTTCCTCCAATGACCATTGATGGAATGACCAGTTTGGCTGGAATTAATATCCCTGGACATGCAGGAACTGGATGGTGCATTTTTGTGTACAACTTGGCCCCTGATGCTGATGAGAGTATCCTCTGGCAAATGTTTGGACCCTTCGGAGCAGTAACCAATGTGAAGGTCATCCGTGACTTTAACACCAACAAGTGCAAAGGTTTTGGATTTGTGACTATGACAAACTATGATGAGGCAGCTATGGCAATAGCCAGCCTGAATGGATACCGCCTTGGGGACAGAGTATTGCAGGTCTCCTTCAAAACAAACAAAACGCACAAAGCCTAACAAGTTATTCTCAGTGCATTAATACATTGAAAACTACAACAAAGGCAATTTACAAGAAGCTTTATGCATTAGTAAATGCCTTTGTTGTATGCCAGTGTGGAAATGGGGATAAAATGACTACTTAGCATCCTAAGAATATGTGAGATTTTTTTATTGCTAGTATTTGAATTAAAACTTCTTAAATATCTTTTGTGTTTAAATATTGACAAGAGGTACAGGGTTTTTACCTGTTAACAATACGTATTCTATTGCCTTCTTTGAAGAAGGTGGACCTTTTAAAATGTTTCAGCTAAGGGAAGAAGTTTTTTTCTTTTTACATCACTGCCTTTAACCTATGAGTAAATAGTGAGGCTTTGTTTTAAGTTGGTTTTTTTGTTATTTCTTGATTTGCCTTGTGTTTAATTTACATTTTAATGCATTGGTGGTTTGTTGTTCAAGAAAAGTATTTGAAGTTTACATTTTATTTATAAAGTTACAAGCAGTATTTATTTTATAATTATCATTTGGGTTGGGGAATGGGAACATGTTATAAAAGCTTATTGTAAGAATACTGGAGAACTTTTCGTAAAGCAGTACCTTGCCAAAGAGATAAGAGCCTCTTTGATGTGGGTTTAAAAAAGCATCTATTTTTATAAAAAAAAAAAATAAAAAAATTTGGAGAAACTTTTTACTGGTCCTGGAACAAATATTTTGACTTGAATTCTTTGAGAAATCTCTTCATATGACACCTAGTGAGCTTTTAAAACTTACCAGGAAATTTGCAATTGTTGGGGAAAACTTAGAAAGATTTGTGATGTAGTAATACTTTTGAGACCTTTGTATTAAGGAGTAAATGAGTTGCACTGTTGGTTTCATTTTTGTAATCATCAGTGGAGTCTTTGATCATCCTGGTTATTAAGTGATAGGTGGCTCACATTAATTTGTGATTTTTGAAACATGAAAATTTAAAGGAGCATATAAGAGCAAGCAGGAAACTTAAAATACTGAGAGATGGGGGAAAAAAAATCTGTTCTTCCTAAAGAATTCCCTTCAGATAGAGCTCATGGTGTTTAGTGATGTACTTGCTATTGTTTGAAGAATTGTTTTGTCTTAAGAAAAGACATTGAGCATGGTTTGCGCAGCTGCAAATCAGCAGAAGTGGCCTGAGTTGGGTGTATTTGGAGGTATTTTGAAAGTTATGTTCAAGGCTAACACCTGAGCTTTGTGTAATGTAAATAAGACCTTGAGTTATGAACCTTTCAGCTAATTTTGATTTTAGTTTATTTTTCAAGTTACATGCCAAGTGATGTTCAACTTTGAATGTTTTTGTATGAGTTTTTTCTTTGTAAATGGCATTAACATTGTTACTTGAGGTCTGCTTATTCATTTTTGTTGTCCTGAGGACTTGAATTTACAGTGCATCAGATCTGTTGCTATTTTTGTCTGTAGATAGTCTAGCTTCGGCTGTTTATGGTGATGCTACATTTTTGTTTATAAATATGTTTGTGGTAAAAAACAAGTATAAACATAAGTTTTGAACAAATTTCCTTACATTTTTCGTACAAAAACCATAAATACCTGTATGTTATTGAAATTTAACTTTGTATGATGCTTAAATCACTATTTGGGGAAATAGAAAAAGTCTTTGCCATGTATTGAAAAAATTTAAGAGAAAATACAGACTATTTTCTGATTAGCATCTAGCTTACGATTAAATTTTTAAAAAAAAGCTGAGGGTTTGATGCCTTCACCAGGATGCACTGACAACTATGTAGTTACATCCTGCTTTTTGTATAAACTGAGATGCTCATATGCTTCCCCTTAGAAAAAGCAATGTTCTATGCATAACATAGTTGTACACTATCTTTGCAGTTGCTTTTGGTTCTTATTCTTTTAAATTGTAGTTATAAATTTTTCAGTATAGTACAGTACATATACTGTGAAGCGCGTGCTAAAGTGAATATGCGAGTTTTCATGCTGACCCACTCAATGCTATTCAAAAATCAATTGGCTTCCAGAGCACTTCCTCATTCTTAGGTGCATTTAGATTGTTAAAGCTAAACCTCTGCATTAAAAATTGTATATACTATAAAAATCACAAACTTTCCAAAGTGGGGAAACAGTAGCTACATGCTTCTTCCTATACTACTGTAGCAACTAACGGCATTGATGAGAAGGCATGTAAATTGGGCTTCACTTTACAGTGTTTATCAGAGCACTTAGTAAAATATAAGGCTGGTATTTATTTGAAGTTGTATAGTATGACTTAATTCACATCTGTTGGAATAGAAAATATATTCTGTTGAGTATTTAAGAGGTTGTACATGTTTTCTTTTGTGTTTGGATCCTTTGTACTTTTTCATGTTCAGTACATCAATAAACAAAGTTGAAGGGAAAACAGTGTCACAAGCAGGTCTTTTACCATTGTCCTCTGCTTTAATGGGTAAGCAATCTGAGTGAAAGGTTTCTGCAAAGCTCTTGAGCTCCTTTTAACTTAGCCTAGGATGCTAGTTACCAACGAAGAGGTAAGACAGTGGAGCTGTGTACCAGTTCTGTTAAGTTAGAATCAGTGTCAAATCTTTTCACTTTGGTTTTATATGAACAACTCAGTACTTAGGCTGATATAATAACTCAGGGTCATTAAACATATTCAGTAGAAAATAATTTGCTGTCTGTCTAGCAGACTGCTATTCAGTGTAGCTAAGTTAATGCCCTAGTGTGTTAGGATAAATACAGAGGAGAGGGAAGGATTTACTCTTTATTGCAATGTCCATTTGCTGTTTAATTACTACATTAATTTGTGGAGCTCCATTAATTGAGTGGACATTCACTTAGCCTTAGTTTGCTGTTCTTTTCCTTTCCCAGCTCTTGGAAGAAATTATTTGAAATTAGTCACCTGTCTCTTGCCTTTTTAAAGTACATACACTTCTAAATTCATTTTCTTTGCTCAGCTGAATGAGAATGACTTTCCACCAGTGAGAATACAATTCCAAAAGTGGCTTATGCAGTATATCTTTTATTTTTAACTATTTTCTTTCACCTTCTCTTTTACATCTTTACTGTGAGGTGGTTTTTTTGATATAAAACCTTGTTGCATGTGTTGTGGTGTGAAGTGTCTCCCATCACTACAGTGTGATAGGGTCGGGTTTACTTGGATGATAGGGTCATAAGTCTGTGAACAACACAAACTTGTCATAGATAACAATACCTCAACATGTCAGTGATAACCAATGCTAACAAACTGACTTTTTATATTTATTTACAGAAATAGTGTGTTCTGATGACTTTTTATGCGGTTGTGTTCTTTGGTGGCTGGAGTAATGAAAGGATGCAAGATGTGGTGCTTGGCTAGCAGCAAATGAGGAACTATATTTGGAGTTCATATTCCAGCAGGGACATCTGTGTGTTCAGCTTGCACTCCTTCACGGAAGGATAGTTTCAGTTCTCAACTTACACCAGTTTAAGTACAGTGTAACTAGCCGTGGTTGAATTATTTTGTTCTATGGAAATGAGGACAAAATGTGTGTCTGTCGTTGCCTTCAGTTTAAAACCAAAACTGCTTATATTTTGAGGGTTTGCTGCAAAAAAGCAAACAAAGAGCAACAGTAAAAATTAAAAGTGCACCTGACCAGAAGAAAGGTCAGTGCTGAAAAATAGCAATTTGATTATACGTAGCTGAGCACCTCTGGGTTGTTGGAGCTTATGAATAAGGGAACCTGATGCAAATTTGTACAGAGGTAGTACTTACTATATTAAAGTTTTCTGATGAAGCTAAGGAAGAAAATATGAAACTGTTTCATGCAGTCTGGTGGAGCGGGACTATTTCCATTCGTAACTAAATAAGAGTTCCAGGAACATCTGTAAGCATCTATGAGGGACTAACAGTGGTAGATAAAACAAGCTGAAAGCATGACCCTGGCAGAGGGTGACCTGTAATTGGGGGACACGAGTGTTAGCCAGGGTGGTTGTGGAGGGGCTTCATTACTGCAGAAACATGCTTGAGGTTTGTGTGGCCTCTTCTGCAAAAGATGTATGCAATGAAATCAGCTGTGACAGGTGAATGTCCCACTTGCATCTAGAAAAGTCTGTCTTCGGCAAGAGAGCATTTTCCCACTGTGAATGAAAAAGGTGCATTTTTTTAAAGCAGATGGCTGTCCCCTGGGGTTGTACGTGGTGTGTATCACTGCATAACACCCAGGGGTCATCAAGTACTGATAAGTCTGTGATATTTTTACCTGTACAGCTGAGCAGACCTGACTGATGTCTAAAATCTATTTCCTTTTGTATTGTCACTTCAGATACACTGTGTCGAGGTGACTAAATGTATAGGAATGGTGACTTAAATCTTGAAAAGCAGTGATTGGTTAGACTTACTATCAAAAAATTTATAGTTTTATTTTATGACTAGCAGAGTATCTCAGATTTTTTTACTGTAACAGTTTGAGAAATTAACATGATTTGAGATATGCCCCATCATGAGTGAAATAATAGGCTGGGGTTGTGCTATTTCAACCCTGTCAACACTGTTGATCCAACTGTGCTTGCACCTTCCTTAACATTGGACTTTGTCTGCCCAGTTGTGGCATTCAGACTTCAACATTTCAATGTGTGCATCTCAAAACCAAGAAGAATGAACCTATTTTTACACTGAAATTTTCCTAATTAAACTTCACTGTAGAGTCACCTGTCTACAAAACTCCTTCTGTGACGAGTAGTGCTTTGGGCCAGCATATGTGCCAGCACATCAGACATCATCTGGGCCAAGCAGCTTAAAACAAAGCTAGGGAAGAGATTGGCTCTTTTGGTGGGAGGAAGTGGAACAGGTACAACTGTGATAATGTGGGAGCTCTGCTGTTGGGCTGAATAGCAGCTTTAATGTGAAATGCTTGACTTACTGCCTGTACTTCTGGTAACTATGATAAAAATTGAGGAAGTGATGTAAACTTTCAGGTGCTTTCAAAGCACCATAAGTGACTTCAGTGGGTTAATAGGTTACTAACTTTATGCTATCAAGTCTGTTGCCGTACTGTCTTAGCTTGCAATTACTGTCCTGTCTTATGTTTTTGACCAGCATTCTGCTCTAAGACATGTCGGAACAAGGAAAACTTTTTTTTTACTTGTAAGGCTGCTCTAAAAACCAAGCATAACTGCAGAAAGTTAATAAAACATCTAATTTTTTAGTTTATGCACTATATCATGTGACTGCTGTGTCAACAGGACATTTTTAGTGACCCTGTAATAGTGTAAGGAAAGTTGCTTCAAGTGCTGGCGGAGTATTGGTTGTGAACACTGCATGCTTTACAAAAACATAAGAGCTGAATTTTAATTTGAAGCAACTCTTACTAAAGTATTCTCATTTATGCAGTAGGACCCTTGCTTAGTACAGCACATGTATTTCTGTTGCTTTGAGTGCGAGGATGTTCTTAGTTTCAAGTGTTTACTTGAATGTTCTGCTGATAAAAGCTTCTGCAGGTCACCCAGCTGCTGATACAACAGGGCTATTTGCCAACATTTATGAAAGACAGTATTCTCTAATAAAAAATTAAGTAGCCTTGAAAGCTGGTCCACCACTTCCTGATGTCTCCCTGTCTCAAAACTTTGGTATTAACTTCTAGAAATACAAGGTATTCTGTAGCAGCCTGTTCTGTTAGAA